TTTTACATAATATCAGTGTTATTAAAAATAAACTATTTATTTATATTGATTACAAGATAGCCATATATTATGTATCTTCCATTACATGTTCTATCCTTTATCTGCGTATCTGATACTATCTACTCTAAAGTATCTAATTGTCCACATTACGTATGTGGACAATTAGATATATAAACATCTATCCTTGATAAAAGAAATCAAGATGGCAACTCACCTAGTTACTTCTTATTTAATATTATCTTCAATATATAATACCTTTTCAGAATTACTACTACCCCATATCATTCCGTGAGTATGGTAAGAGGCAGCAGAGGGAAACAAATCAGGCAATGGGCAGTAGCGTCTTCCTAACAACGAATAAAAATAAAAAAACTGCGGTTGCCAACTCGCTTACCGAGCAAATATAGCATATATCCCCTTATGAGACCTCCATGAGCGAGGCCTAAATTCAGCAGTGGACTTTAATAGGCTGTAACGATAACGGTAACGGTAACGTGACCAACTTCAAAAAGGAGGAGGCAACGTATCTATATTTTGATTATTAATTGAAGATAGATGTCTATGGGCAACAACATCCACGCACCATCAGGTGGACTATGCGCTCATATATCACCCTTATTCTATAAATAAAATCCAAGGCGTATTGACGATCACACAATACCAGACGTCTCGTCGCCGTAGTAGAGATGACTATGAGAAATTCCAGAAACATCTTATGGCTACCGATACATGAAGATAGATCTATTCCATTACAGCCTATAAAAGTCCACTGCTCGATATTGGCCTCCACATATATTGCCTCGTAGGGCCGCTTGGCAGGCGAGCTAACAACCGCAATTCTTTAATATTTTGAGTTGTTGTTAGGAAGATGCTGCTGCCCATCTCCTGTTTCCGCTTCCCTCTGTCGATACGACACCCACGGGACGATATGGAGTAGTGGATATTCTTACACCGCCATTTTACACCCAGTGTACGCCAGACATAATATATCCAGACCGGCGATATACAACAGGGTTAGAGTGTGAGACGTCGGTCCTGCAGTCATCCATTCACCTGCCGAGCATGACGTTTAAAGCAAATCCTTTCTACAACAACAGCTTGATATTTTTACTAAAGATTTTTACTGTTTAACAAATAAACTATTACAATATATTCTTCCAGCATGAGAAATACCTAGACGTACTAGTACGTAGTGCGTAGTACGTAGTAGTAGAGTAGCACGTAGCTTGTGAGCCAAAATAAAGTTATTCTTTTTTTAATTACAATAATAATGTAATGTGCATTACATTTATAGGTATTACTACACTATAGGTATTTATAGATATTACTATACTAAATATCAAGTAGTAGTATAAAAAATATCGAGCTCGGCAATTTATTTATAGATGTAACAAAAACCATGTGGTTCCCGTTAATTGCGTTATCAAAATCAATATTCAAACGTATAGAAATATCTTTAATTTAGAAAACTTAACCATAAAAATATCAAAATAAAATTTTAATTACAAATTATATGTGGGTTTCTTGCCTCTGCTTTGGGAGTAAGAGTACTCGTAATATTTTTTTTTAATATAGAACATTGTAATGTCAAAGGCGGGGCCTATTCAGCGCTTTACCGATGCGCGTGTCAGTTACTTCAAAAGTGAATAATATTTTTTACAAGATTGAATTTAGTAAGGTACGTATTGTAAACACTAAAACCCCTTTAATAACGACGGTAACCCTTAAAACTTTTCACGGTCTAATGTCAAATTTAAAAAAAATATCAAAGATAATAATTTGTGTTAAGTCAGTGTCAAATGCGTTTCACAATACTTTTGTTTTATTTGAATTTTTTATGGAACCCTTCGTGGCATTAAAATAATTACGGCCAGTTTAGGTGGCACCGTTTTATATTGTCCATTTTATTATGCTTTTTATTGGATATCTGTCAGCCTTTTTTTATTTTCGAACTAGGGAAGAATGTAGATATTATGGACTTTGACAAATTAGGGGTCAGCAGATCGCTGGAAAATTGTTAATAGGCGGGAAATTATTCAAGTTGGTGATGACACCACAGAAATCATTTCATTTTTCAGTACTACTGATAATCATAATAATAATAATCATAAATATTTATTTGCTAGAATCACGGTATAAAAAATGTTAGAATTTATACAGTGGAGACCTAGTAGAGACGTGTTTCGCTAACAATAGCATAGCAATTATAATTTTAAAATATTTAGTATATACTGACAGTATTAATAATTATTTAAATCAAAAAACATAATCTTAATAATTATCTAAAAAAATCTTTTAAGACATTTCACAAAATTTTCTTATATAATGTTTCGCTTAATAATTTACATTCTTTAGTTATTTTACTTTTACAAATAATGATTTATTTTTATAAACAACCACGACAACTTCATAAGTGCATGATAATTTTTAGCGGTAAACTTGCAGGATGGGCAAATCTAAACATCCAAGAACGTTGTATATAGGTAATTTTAGATCCCATGACCTAAGTAACTGCTATGATCCATGGCGCCGGTTCATTTCAACCTCGAAAGTTGTTGGTACCGAACTTGGGGACTATGGATATCATTAATTTATATAAAAAAAAGTTATAAGTAAATGACTTTCAACTTTTAGGGGTAAATACTTCTTTAGAATCGTTGTGAATTGAAACTGGATGAAACGAAAAAGCGACACTAAGAAGAGACAAACTTATAGGGGTACATTTATAGGATTCAGTCTGCGAGAGAATGAGATAGAATACAGAATACAGTGTTTCCTACGGTGTTTCATTTCTACTACGTAATACTATTATTTATTCTGTGCTTCTACCGCGTGTGAACACGTTTTTTTCTTGCGTTCGTGCTTCACTGTTTTATTTTTTACCATTGTCCCAGAATTAAGGTAATATTTTTCGAATGTATTTATGTCTGTTTGCTTAGCATGCTCTGTACCCTAAACGGCTTGATGGATTTTACCACGGAGCAAATACAAAGAGGAGGTGTTATAATTAGATTTCACTATGTAACAACGCGTGACAATTTGCGGGGTGAGGGGTTGTTAAGCCGCGCCCACTTAACTATTTTCCATCTACCGATAAATGGTAAAACTACTCGCATCGTTCCATATCGATGTTGCTATGTAATTTAGCTACCTTCACGATAGATGGCGGCCTGTTCAGTAAATGATTATAAAAACTATATATGTACTTTGTATTTGCTCCGTGGATTTTGCTTACGGGTGTTGTTAGTAAGATTTAGGAGTAATAGTGTTCTGTGGTAAAATTCGTCTTAGTTGCGAATGTGACATAGGGTATAATGTTTGACAATTTCTGTTTTCAGTTGACTTTTTATGCAGTCGGGTTTTTTTTTATAACTATTTTATCCATTGGGTATTAATTTAAACTATGTAAATTAAATTTCGACGCCGAATATCGATAATATGTAATTTTTCAGATTTTTTTACCTTTGTATACGCTTAATGGTCTGCCTTGATGCCTATTTTAAGTTTGTAAGTGACTAAGGCTTATAACAAGTAAATAGGTAATAAAAAGGCACTTTTATGACCTTAATAAGATCTTAATAACTTACCTATTATAATAGGTTCACATTTGAAATTTACGATTCAAGATCATATACAAAATCACAAGTGTCTGATCACAAGTAGATATAGAAGTTTTGAGAAATGGGGAGTTCGAAAGTGGTTCGAAAAGGTCGTGTAAATATACACACTGCCGGTGTATCTGTATTGTTAGTGATGTGTATTTACATATATATCTATAACAAAAATATTTTGATGACATAGTCCGGTCACAATGACTAGAACCGACAAAGCCTAACGGATTAGTAAACTGAAGTGGCAATGGGCCGGCCATATAGCCCGAAGAACCGACAACCGATGGAGAAGAAAGGTTCTCGAGTGGCAACCTCGTACCGGTAGACGAAGTGTAGGCCAACCCTCGACTATATGGAGTGATGACCAGGTAAGACATACAGGAAGACGATGGATGCAGGTGGCTCAATACCGTGCTTGTGGCATTCCTTGGGGAAGGCGTAGGTTCAGCAGTAGATGTGTGAAGGGCTGTAATGATGATGATGATGATGATGATGAAATGATTTACTAGAAATAGTATGATTAATTTTATTACATATTTAATTTAAATAGCGCCCTAGACCTTATTGTTTTATAAAAATATTAATTTAAAAACCTTCTTGTGCATTATATAATATATATCTATAAGTTATACCGTCCCATAGTGAATATTCTTACACCGACACTACACTTTTTCAATACCGCTGATCCATGCAAAATCCATCAATTCTAGAATGACGGTTTTTATAACATAATCTAAAAAATAGACAGATCATAAACAGGATAAGGGTGACAAACGAGCACACAGTCCACCTGATGGTAAGTGGTTGCTGTGGCCCATAGACATCTACATCTATCTTGTATTACGAATCAGAATGCAGATGCGTTGTCACTCGTGAGGACTAAGATGGAATGCCTCGTTTCCAGTAAAACGGGTCTCCGGTTCTCTACACTCACCATACGAAACACAGCAGTGTTAAGCTGCTATTTTACGCTGGTATTCTGTGAGAGCGTTGTCCTTCCCCGGTCGAGCCGACCCATTCGTGCTACAACGATAACATAGCTGCATCATGGCTACCACGTAAAAAATATTTAAATAATTTTTTTATAATATTGCCTGATGGTAAGTGGATGCTGTGGCCCATAGACATCTTCATTAATCTTCGATTAAGAATCAATATGCAGATACGTTGTCACCGCTGAGGACTACGATGGACTGCCTCGTTTACAGAAACAAGGGTCTACGATTCTCTACACTCACCACACGAAATACAGCAGCATTAAGCTGCTATTTTAGGTTGGTATTCTGTGAGCTACGCTCTCACAGATTACCCTACGGTATGGTCCTTCTATTCTATTCTATTCTATTCTATTCATTAAATATAGTCATAACATGTGGTCTAAAATTTCAGGTTCCGCGCATGCCTAAAACTCGCCGACACGTCCGTATCAAACATGGTGGGGAAGTTGTTTTTCAATGTCGTCCAAACCAAATGCTTTATCTTGAAACCGGTGAAGATGTGCACGCAACGATCCTGGTGGGGAAAGTGTCTAAGGAGAGGGTATACGAAGCAAGCATTCTTGAGGGATAACCTGCCCTATTGAATACCACGTTACTATATAATTTTCTGATTGAATAGAAAAGAATGTATTTAGCTGTACTATTGATGATGTCAACAAAATTTTTTTTTCTAGACCTTTATCATCTCATCTATTGTAATTGCACAGAAAATGTCTTCTTAACTGTAATAATTTTCCGTTTATTGAGATTAAGATATAAGTAGAATGTGTAATGTGAAATTAAAACTAACTCTTTACTTGATACAGATCGTCTAGTTTAAAACTGCAAGCGCCTCCCTTTTTGCCATGTTAAATATAGGAAAAGTTCTAAAATATACTTCAATAGAAAGGGCGCGAATATTTAGTTTTTATAATACCTAATTAGGTAGAAAGGTGACAAAATCTACCAAAAACAAGGAGGTGTGCAGTTTTAATTCGATCTCTACCTAAGTCGAAAGTAAAAGATACCTATAGAAACATTTATTTAATGGAATTTAAGAAAGCAATGGGCGGGCCACATGATTTATTTACAAAATTTTGCTTCTATGATTTTATCAATGTATTTAAAATGTAATTCCACATCTGTATACTGTTGTAATTTTATGATCAAAAATAATATTCTGTATTTAATAATTATTACACCAAATCGTACGTGTATATAATGTAATATAATGATTATACATAGAAATTATTGATATCCTTCAGGAATTACTAAGTTACTGTTTAGTACATTTTTGAAGTAATTAGTTGTATACCAATGCATTATTTACCAATTTTATTCTGTAAAATAAAATAAAAATATTTATTTGAAAACCCTAAGCAATAATAGGCAATAAAGATAAATAGAAGAATAAAAATAATATTATGATAAATTCAAAATGTTAATGATAAAAGCAACTAATTTATAGCCAATTAATTTATAGATATATTTTTGTGGTTTATCCGACTTTGTAGAACACACGGAATAAATGGTTTATTAATTTATATCTCTAGTTTAAAAAAAAAATCTATTATCTTTCACGAAACTTTATAGCGCCATCTGTGTTTACGTCACAGCTTTTTATTCCAGTATTTCCAAATCAGATATACAACAATTACATAAAAATTATATTTCATAATTATTTTTATGTAATTGTTTTAATAATTTTTTCAGTGGTCACTTTATTTAATATAAAAATTAGTCGATAATTGTCGGCAATATTTTTAAATACATAAATAGACTTGTTCTATTGCCCGGTAGATGGGGTAGTTAGTATTAAAGATTAACAATTTTTATATCATATTTTCAATATTGAATAAAGCTAAGCTCTCGGCAAAAATATTTGAGACTTTTCTCTTTTCAAAAGTGCAGTGCATAATTAATTATTACATAAAATAAGAAATAACGAGAAACGATCTTTCGAAATTTCAAATAAATTTGTCGGTAAAATACACCCGCCATCTAGTGTAACTTAACTGTACTATGCCTATAACCTTCTCGCAAGTGCAAGCAATAAGTTGACATAGTTTTGCCGCAATTTGATGAACGGTATGGCAGCGCATAAAATACGAACAAACAAAAATTATTTTTTATTTGTTAGATTAGATTGCAAACTTTAATGAATACAACAAAGTATACTATGTAACCTCTGGTAAAGCAATAAAAGGAATTAAAATCGCTTATTACGTTATAAAGCAAATTTAGGTCCTTTCAGACGTAGAAAGGCGAAAATCGTAGATTTTAAATTACAAAAATGCTTTATGTAATTTAAAATCTACTAAGTGAAATGTATCATATTTGTATATTGTAATCTATATAATGTCGTGGCGGCGTAAAAACTTCACTACCCCATATTAGCCCATGGGTGTCGTAAAAGGCGACAGAGGGAATCTGAAACTAGAGATGGGAAGCGTCATCTTGCTAATAATAACTCAAATAAAAATGCGGTTAGGTACCAAGCGCGACAGCTATGGCAAATATCCCTCCTCCGAGGCAATCTATGGCAGAGGCCTATGTTCAGCCATGGACTTCCATAGTCTGTAATGTACAAATGGATGAATAGTAACTAGTAGTAGTTGCTAAGTACCTCCTAGATGCAAATTAGAACATAATATCCTGCTATATTTCACCTTTACGGATTTTAATATTGTTTTTGGAGAAAAGGGACTTACGCCCCTTTTAAGTAATACGGCAGGAATATCTGTATTTGGCATAATGTATTTAATATAGTTTGTAACTTAAAGTTCCTGTATTTGACAATATATTTGTGTAGTCTATTACGAATTATCATCTGTCTAATAATAAGTCGTATTAAGTACTTATTGGCGGTACGTATAATATGTCATTTATTGTATATGGGCGAAAAACTTATAGTTTTAAAATATTTGTGTAGATGGTAGATGTGTATAGATTAATGATAACCATTATATGTTAATACAATTCTAAGGGTGCATCCATACGAGTCATAGTTAATTTATAAATTATTTGAAATAGGCTAGTGCAGGGCTTCCCAAACTTATTTTTACTGTGACGCCCTTGGGAATTTGCCACTTTTTTGCGACGACTTTTTTCCTCTGGCTAAAAAATACCTACTAGTTGTAATTCTAGCCTAGCTAGCCTAGATACCAGAAAAACTGCAAATAACATTTATAATTTTTATTAAATAATAAGAAAAAACAAGAACAAAATGAAAAGAGATACTTAGTTGGCTGGCTACTAATGAGAAGGATGTACTTGCTTTTCTGAACATAGCTTCTCAAAACGTGGCTCACGTTTGGAAATTGTCACTCTCATCTCTTTCTCTACATTTATTTCGATCTGTACTTGTTCTTTATTACTGCAATTGCAGAAAAGCCTGTTTCGCACAAGTACGATTTCGCAAATGGTAATAGAACTGCATAGCGCATTCCCCCCAGGGCGTCGCGACGCACAGTTGGGGAGGCCCTGGCTTAGTGATTAAATATCTACATTAACATTACCTGTACAGTATATTTCTCCTTGTTTATGTTTCTTTCTCAAAAATGAAACTTAATGGAATAATCTCGCTGTCTGTCTGTTTTTCTATAATAACATTTGACATAGATGAGAAGTATTCCGCTAACTTGTAATGACGTGAGGCTTTTGAACGTTCGATAAAGCTGAACGAACATTTGTCCGCGCCGTACGCGCCGTACGCAAATCTTTTGGGTTGCCAACAACTCTTGCAGTTTTTCCCAACCACTCGTGTAATTGTACTTTAGATAGATTAGATTGAAGACATTTATCGCTCGGAATCAATATGGAAAAATATTGTAATAGCCTGCTTATTAAAATTCGGCGCGTACGGTGCGGGTGTAATGTGTGAGGTTTCATATGATTTCATACGATGAATTCTAAAATTCGGCGCGTACGGCTCGGACAAATGTGCGTTCAGCTTAAAACGTTAGTTTTCGGGAGGTAAAAAACTTTTTCAACGTCAGTGTGTGGTATCAATTGAAATTATGATAAAAAAAATTAAACAAAGTTCTTCAGACTTGCTGTCCCAAACACGTGTGTCCTAAAATAAGGCCAGGAAAAAGTTTAAAAACAAAATACAAAAATTTTCTGAAATTATGCACTATTCACATATCAATTTATTTATTAATCAATTGTGACAAAGTAATTGGATTTCATTTTATTTAAATTTCATGGTCTTTCTAATGTTTGCTAAAGCTATATTTATTCAGTATCATTATCCTTATCCACTGACACGATAATCACTGGATATTATTTTTACATCCAGGCTTAGACATTTGACATTCAAAATTCAATAAAAATTATTTGAATTTTAACCTTAGTTTGTGAGCTTTGTGACTAGGCGTCTTAGCTACTAAAATAATAAAACATTGATATTTTTTATTTGTTTCATTAATAACAATCAGCATAATATTAAATAGGTTGTGTTTTGTGATAAAATAAATGTATGTATATCTATTTATAAATAATTAAATGTCCCGCTTCATTATTATATTTCGTGTAAAATAAACAAAAACAACTAATGTGATTATGTCAAGGATTTACCATCGATATGTTGTAATAATTTATTCATACTAGGGATGGTACGGAAGTGGTTATATCGGAACCGAATTCGGAAGCGGAGTTTTTAAATTTTGTTTGTCGGAACCGTAACCGAAATCGGACCGGAATCGGAGGTGGAGGCAGAAGAAATGTGTTAAAGCTATTGCACGGTATTTATCTTTTCAGTTTCAAATTTTTTGAATTCTTCGAATTCAGTGGCATGCACAGACAATAAATTACTTTTTTAATGAAGTAATCGTACCTTCCTTTCGTGAATATATCTTCTCGCATAGTTTATACTTTGTCATATTCCCGGAAACTTCATTGAAATAATTCCAAATGGCACTTGATTTTGGCTTCATTGTCCAAGTGCCAAATACGAAACAAAACACCAAGTTAAAGAGTAATCGACGGAAAGCAGAGGGAGGTTCCCGGGGCGACAAGTATAAAACTTGTTTGTACACGCTATTCGCGGCCGCCGCCACTGCAGTGCATCGACATCCTATATATAACTTCCGATTAAAATTTAACTGAACCGAAATCGGAATCGAAAATGCAATATCAATCGGAAGTTCCGGACTTTCGGAATCGGAACCGAACCTCCGTAACATCTCTAATACATACTATAATTTTCCATATTCTAGAAGTCATCTATTTAAAAAGGAAGTAATAAATTATTATTTAGTTACAAAGAAGAAGATTCTAATTTATAAATAAATACTTACCTATTATATTACGAGTATGTAAGTAGTAAGACAAAAATTGGTCAATGTCATAATAAATACAATTTCGCTTATTAATAAATAGGTACTACAATTAAGAATGGAGAATAAAACAGTATACATAAAACATATTCTTTTATTTTCTTAGATAATAACTATTATCTATGTGCCCGTACGCGTGCGCGTGCGTATGCGTGTGCGTGTGCGTGTACGTGTACGTGCGAGTGTGTGCACGCACGCGCGCTTGCGCGCGCGTGTGTGTGTGTGTGTGTGTGTGTGCGTGTGCGTACGCGAGTGCGTGTGCGTAT